TAAGTTGTCTAGGCTGGCCTCCTTGAGGAAGAAGAAGTGGTCAGATTCTGGATATACTGTTTCATCTTTTAAAAGTTTTTACTGAAAGTAACAAATATACAAAAAGGTTCATGTTATAAGTATACAGCTCAATTAATTCTCATACAGTGAAGATGTACCTTGTAATGGGCGCCCAGCTTTCACCTGCTACTTATACTAAAATTGGAATGATACAGAAAAAATTAACATGACCCTTGTGTAAGGATGACACACATATTTGTAAAGCATTCCATATTTTATTGTTTGTTTATTTATTTAGATATTAGGGACTGAATCCAGGGGCACTTAACCACTAAGCCATATCCCCAGCCCTTTTAAAATTTTTTTTATTTTGAGACAGGATCTCACTAGGTTGCCTAATGCCTCAGTAAGTTGCTGAGGTTGGCTTTGAACCTGTGATCCTCCTGCTTCAGCCTCCTGAGCCACTGGGATTACAGGAGTGTGCCACCACACCTGGCACATTCCATATTTAAAAATACAAAACCAAAAAAATCCTTGCCTTGGCTACCTTGTAAGGACAGAACCAACAGGATTTGGATGTGTAGAGTAAGAAAAAATGAGGTCTTAAAGAGGACCCCACAATTTGGGCCTGAGCAACTGGAAGAATGCTGGAGGGAGATAAATCTAGAATTGAGTATTGGGTATTCTGAGTTTAAGTTGCTTACTAATATCCAGGGAAAATGTCAAGTAGGAAGTTGAATATATGGGTTTTGGAGTTCAAGGGAAGTTCAAGTGGAGTTCTTAGCTGGAAATAATCTACCTATAGGGCAATTCTGCAAGCCCTAATTTCACAGGATATGACAGTCACTGAGGGTTCTGTTGAAGAAGTTTTAGGATGAATAAATGAATTTGTAGGCGGGGTCAGGGATTTGGTGCTGACCTCTGATTTCCTCTGCCAGCCCCGCTCTGTCTACTGAGCCTACTATTGCCACCCCTCAGTCCCGCAGCCCCCATCTCCCCAGCTGAGCCCATCAGTCAAGCCTATAGCCTGGCCCTCTACATGCAGAAGAATACATCAACACTGCTGCAGACCTATGTGAGTGATACCGGGCACAAGCAGGGGATGAGGGGAGAGGGATACTACCCTGGGTAGGGGAAGCAGAGCAAGCTCAGGAGTATTCTCTTCAGTGGGTCCAAGGGCACAGGGGCCCTGTTAACTAGAGACATACTCAAGCGTTGTCACAGATGGCTGGGTGAGCTTGAGCAAGCGATCCTTCCTCTCTTGGTCTCAGCTTCCTCATCTGCAAAATGGGATGGTAATACCACCTTTGGTGACCTTTCAGGATTGTTACACAGTCAAAGGAAGCACTTAGAAGGAAGGATTTACATAATCAGGGTGATTTCCATAACCACCTCATGCCATGTGCTCACTTGGGCTCTATGCCATCAATTCCTCAAGCCATTCTGACTGGTGGAATTAGAATGCATTTTACAGATGAGCAAACTGAGTCCTAGAGGGGATAAATAATTTGCCCAAGGGCACAGAGCTAAAAACTGGTAGTGCCAGGATACAAAACCAGGTCTATGGAATTCCACACCACAACCCTCCACCCCTTACCCCCATCCCACCATATAGAAACAAAATTGGCAGCCTGCTTGCTGGTTCTGACCATGTGTTGTCAGACAAAAGTGGCCGCCTAAAACGCAGGGATCCTGTAGACCAAAACTTCCATCCTCCATCTTACTCCTGCTTTTTTCCCCAAAATTACACGACATGCCTGGCTCTGGTGAGTCCTGGAGTTTACAATTCTTCCAGGCTCTTATGAATTCCACAATTTAGGTTCTAGTACCATATGTGTCTCTATTCCCTGGACAGTCTTGGGCATCTTGAGACTCAGTTTCTCCATCTATACAATGAAGATGTGGAACTAAGTTATATGTCAATTAGGAGCTCTATCAGTATGCATTAAGATTCTGTGGGTCTTGTTTTGTGGGGGGTCAGAACTTTGATGGAGAAAACTCTCAACTACATTAAACAATGTTAACAATTATTTATTAGTGATCATAATAAAATTAACAAACATAAGCAATTAAATACCATAAATAAAAAGATTAAACCGTAACTACATTGTCAGTAATATACTTAGATTAAACATATTATTAAAAAATAGTCACAGAGTTCATTAATATCTATATATTATTAGTTAATGATGACTTTAATTCCTTTATTGTATCTCAGGTGCTGTTTATATATCTATATATGTATGCATATACATATATAAATTTTCCATCATCTTCACATAACATTGTTACATGGGAGTTACAGAAGCTTGTGATTTGATGTCATATAGATAGTACATGGAAGATGACCAATTGGAACCTAAAAAGGCTCTCGATCTGTATTAGGACATCCTACCAGCTCCCTGAAGGGTGGTGAATGGTGGATTCTCCTGGGAAGATGCCAGTCTCAGAGTGCAGATGTGGAGTCAGCACCATACATCCCTTTGGTCCCCTTACCTCTGTCTCTCTCTGTCCCGCATACAGCTCCAGCACCAGGGCAGCCCCTTTAGTGACCCTGGCTTCTCAGCCCCTGAGCTGCAGCTCAGCAGCCTGCCTTCTGCTGCTGTCCCCTTCAAGACCTGGCATGCCCTGGATGATGGGGAGAGATTGAACCGTGCCCAGGGAGCCTTCCTGGCCTTGACCCAGCACCTGCAGCTCGTGGGAGACGACCAGAGTGACCTAAATCCTGGCAGTCCCATTCTCCTGGCCCAACTTGGAGCTGCAAGACTCAGGGCCCAAGGCCTGTTGGGCAATATGGCTGCCATCATGACTGCCCTGGGGCTGCCTATTCCCCCAGAAGAGGACACTCTGGGGCTTGTTACCTTTGGGGCCTCAGCCTTTGAGAGAAAATGTCGAGGCTATGTAGTGACCCGGGAATATGGCCACTGGACAGATCGAGCTGTGAGGGACTTGGCTCTACTCAAAGCCAAATACCCAGCATAGAGGAGTGGGGCTTCCTGTCAGAGGCTGCAACACTTCCTCTTTCACAATGGACTCTTTTTTGCCTTGCTTTTGGGATAGAGAAGGAGCTACAACTTCTCTAGAGACCAGGGTTTGTGTGCCATGTTTTGGAGAATATTATCTGGATACCAGGCCTCCATTCCTTATTGCCTATGACCTCCCTTCCAGAACTAGTTGGGTCTCCATAGGTCCTATTTCATGGATTCCAATCCAGTGGTACTTGTTTTCCTACTTCTTAGTTGGAAAGAAGAGCCCCTTGAAGAGGCTTTACCTCCTACTCTAGGGAGAGGACAGTTGGTCTCCTTCCTGGGCTCTCCTTGAGACTTTCTCCTTTCTATAATTGGAGGAAGTTCAGGGATTGTCTTCCTGTCTCTGTCTACCTCCATTTCTGTGTGACAATATGACCTTTCTGAGATAGCTCTCTCTTCTTGCTGGAGTTCATTTCCTCTCCTGATTTGCCTGTCTGGCCCATTGTTCCACTTTATCTCCAAATGGGTTTCACTTCCTGATCAATGGAAGTAGAATTCTGGAAAAACTAAGGACTCATGTCACATCACATCTGTTTCCTGCTCAGGGCACTTTCACTTCCTGTTTTGGGCTGACAGGTGGTATCCCTGTCCTGGGGTTTTTGTGAATCTCCTATGCAGACTGTGCCTTTGGGGTATGTGTGGGGGATCAGTTTGTACCCCAAGGACCCTATTCTTCTCAAAGTTGTCTCTCCATTTTCAACAACTGTATATACAGGTAACTTTAGTTTTATTTTTTAACTTTTTATTTACAAAAAAATTAATTTATTCTCAAATAAAACTCTTTTAAGGCATTATGTGAGGGTTTTTTTTTTTCCTCTTCACAGACCTGGCTTGAGAGGTGAGGGTTGTACTATCCCTGCACAGGGCAGGGCAAAGTGAAGGGAGAAGGGGAAGGGCCCAGAGGGATGGGGTGGGGACAATGAGGGCAGCAGTTGGGATGACCCTGGGGGAGGGTGTCTGAAATTTGTTTGCAGTAGCCTACCCACCACAGGACCAACAGGCACATTCCTGGTCAAGAAAGGACAAAACTGAGGGAGAGCGACAAGGTGTGGCCTCCTTGAGATGAGGCTCAGATGTACACATGATCACGTGGGGCCACAGGGAGATGGAAAACAGACCCAGAGATCCCCAGAGACGGGTAAAGGGGAGACCTAAAGAGACTGAGGCAGGCCCAAGGATGGAGAAAAAGAGAGGGGAAGCGAGAAAATGGGGGACACAGGAAAGTTCCTTGGGCAGACAAGGAGGACCAGAAAGAGAAGAGGTACAGAGTCAGAGCAAGGGGACAGTTCGCAGAGACACTGACAGACACGGGGAGAGACAGAAGTGAAGACAAACATGGAGAAGGAACCTGATGGAGAGGAGGCGACAACGCGAAGTCGCCCCCGTGCGCGCGCTCACGCGGGCCCCTCGGGCACCAGCTGGCTCAGGTCGCCCTCGGTGCGGCTCACCCACTCGCTGTAGAGGCCGCACACCCGGAGCCCCAGCATCTTGGCCGGGAAGACCCCTGCAGCGCTGGTGGTGGTGGTGGTGGTGGCGGCGGTGGCTGCAGCCGCGGCGTTAGTAGCGGAGGGCTCCGGCCAGGGACCGCGGGCGGTGGAGCCCAGCGCAGCTAGCACGGTCTCCACGGCGGCGCCCAAGGCTCGAGCCTGGCGCGCAGCGTCCTCTAGGCGCCGCAGCAGGCGCGGCACGCGCGGGTTCAGCTCGGCCTGGTGGCGGCGCACGACGTCGAGCAGCGGGGGCAGCGCGGCCAGCGCCGCCGCGTCCAGCCGCAGCCGCTCGGGCAACGGCAGTCCCGCGTGGCCCGGGGCCGGGGCGCTCAGGCCGGCAACTGGCAGCCGCGGCGGCGAGAAGCCCGGCAGCCCGAAGGGATCTCCCTGGTGCTGCACCTGCGGAAACACGGGCGCGGTCAGCGCGGGGCGGGCAGGGTGGAGGGGACTCGTCGGGGGGGGGGGGGGGGGGGGGGGGGGGGTGCTGTGGCCAGCGCCGGGGGTTCCTAGCGGAGACCTCGACCTTCTCCTAGGACGTCTGTTTCCTCATCCTGCAAATAATTCCCTCCTAATGGGGCCGTTGTGTTTGAAACAAAACAAACAAAAAAAGGAAGGGTTTACACCAGGGCCTTTGTTTTCTGCCTCTAATATGGAACCAGTAATAATATCAACTTCATAAGGTAGTTATGAGCATATAAAGTGCTAAAGACAAGGCCTGGCCTCCAGGAAGGGTTCAGTAAATGTTAGATGTTTCATTAATATTACCTTAAAAGATCAGGGTTCAAATCTTGTCTCTGCTGTGCCTTTTTGGGCAACAGTTTCCCTTCTCTGAGCCTCAGTTTTCTCATTCATAATATGGGGGAACAGCTCTCTGTCCTAACCTTCCTCATCTCCCTCACCACATTGAAGCTAGGGCTTCCTGCATGCTAGGCAAGTACTCTATCACTGAGCTGCAACTGCAGCCCTTTTTATTTTAAGACAGTTTTGCTAACTTGTGAGGCTGGTCTCAATCTTGGGATCCTCCTGTCTTAGTCTCTCAAGTTGCACAACTAGGCCCAGCTCCCCTGTCCTGTCTTTCTACCGTGGTTCTCTCAAAAATTAGAGGTACTCAGTGGATTTCACTCTCTTCTCCCATCCTCCCAACCTCTGTACCTGCAGGTATTCAATGAACAATTTTCATATGAATGAACAAAGATAAAGGTGATTTACAACTTCTCAAATGCAAACATTCCTCTTTTGCAAACATCTTGCCTCTCATTCAAGCTTTGTTTGCTGCTTAAAAACATTATCTTCCCAATATGGGTGTGATGATGATAATAATAATAATGGCTTTGTAAATAAGAGAGTTAAGCTGAAGACAGTGACTAGCCCTGTAACCCACCTAGGAAGTGGCAGAGCTGGAATTTGAATCACAGTTGGTAGGACTACAAAGCTAATTCTATTATTCCACTACCCACTGTCTTACTTGTTTCATTATTATTTTAATGTTATCATTACTGCCCAAGGTCCCAAGTGGGTAGGCCTGTTGTTTGTATGATTCAAAACTACAGCCCTGGGCCTGGGGTTGTAGCTGAGTGGTAAAGTAAGTACTTGCCTAGTACACGTGAGGCACTGGGTTCAAGCCTCAGCACCACATAAAAAATAAATAACATAAAGGTTAAAAAAAAAATACTAGGGGCTAGGGGATATAGCTCAGTTGGTAGAGTACTTGTCTTGCAAGCACAAGGCCCTAGGTTCAATCCCCAGCACCAAAAAAACAAACAAAAAAAAAAAAAGAAAGAAAAATACTACAGCCTATTTTCACTACACTAAAGTGGGATTATCTTCTCTCCTTGGGCAGGGTAGGGCCTTCAGGCCAACCAAAGGTGTTGATAGCTCTATCTTCTCTGTATCAGCTCCCTCTTGGTCCCTTTGAATATTCTAGGTAGAGGACTTCACAGTCCATCTTTATTTAGTGCCTCCTTTTATGGCCCATGAAGATAAAGGTGACAGGATCACACAGAGCTTAGAATGTAGGTTTCCTGACTCCTAGACTAGAGTACCCTTTACTGTCTCAGGCTTTGACTTCAGGCACCAAGGTGTAGTGGCACCCCCTCCTCCACAAAAAAAAAATCTTAGTTAAGTTTCTCCAGAAATCTTCACCATCATTGATTTTAAGACTATAAACAAGAGTCTTTACAAAAAAGTTCAATGTAGTTAAACTTCCTATTTTCCTGTTGCTCTATTTTACTTGGCCACTGGCTGGAAAAAAATCAGCATTCCAGGTGCTGAACGCCCTTTTACTTGTTTTTCACAAACATATATCCAGTATAGTAGTTTGTAAAAGTGTTTGCAAATACAAAATGTGATTTAAAAAAAAAAATCATTTAACAAGGTCTTTGGCCTTGGACTGCAGCTTCACAAAGATGTCTACATTTCTAAGATAAGAAAAGTTACCAATTGGGCTCCATGGAAACAGCTGGCAGGGAGAGGAAAGAATGGGGAGAAGTTCTCCTCTTCTCAGGTGTTGTCCTTAAAGGGTTAACTTGCCAAAAACAGTGGGGAAAAAAAACTGCTTTTATGTAAACTTCTGAGCACCTCCTCTTACATGCTGGGTATAAAATTCTGAAACTACTTGAACTCGCGATTCAGGCAAAAGCTATGTGCCCTCTGAACCTGGCTGCAGCCAAATAAAACTGTTTCCTGCTATCTTACTTCAGTGCCTTGCCTCATCTGTCCCTACAACAAAGGAGGGGAGGCTCCAATCTGAGGCAGAGGTCATTTGCCTCCTCCATTTGCTCTGTGGCCAGGAGTAGTTTCTGTCTCTCTCAGGAGGTTTGTTTTCCACAGCTGGGAATGAGGTTGAGAAAATAGGTGATAGAGGACCTCTGTGACCTGTGCTTCCCTGTTTCCCAGGCCCAAGGCACCCCCAGCCCCTTTCCCACTCACATATTCCTGGAGCAGCTGCTCTGCGTATTTGGTGAGGAGGCGGGCAAGGCTGTGCGTCTGTCGGATCTTGGCCTCCAAGTGGGGAAGGAGTGAGACTGAATCGTCAGCCTGGGGGTCTTCTGGTGGGAAAGGGAGGGAGGAATGAGGGCAGCCCAAGCTCCTGCTCCTTGACCACCCAGCCACTCTTCTCTCCTGAACCCAGAAACTCTACTCTGAATGCTCCAGCATTCAGGCCAGGAAAGATCTGTCCCACTCCAAGTGAGGAAAAATGGGGCACTAGACTTTTATCAAATAGTTGCTCTACATGAAATGTGTCCCCTGTCCCCAAATCACTATTGAAATCCCATTAAAACCAACTTTAAATTCTGCCTCCTCTTTGCAGAATCCAGAATCCTTAAATGAACTGCTCCCTTTGACTTCAGGCCATTTGTTCATAATTCCAAGGTAGCTCTCCAACCTGTGTATATCTACCTTAGCCTGGGATGCTTCTGAGAATAGGGCCTTACACATGCCCTGTGACTGTTGGTGGAATTCAACATCCCTGAAGCACAGAACCTCAAATTGGAATGTGACTTTAAGGCCCATTTTACAGATAGGGAGACCATGTCCCATTCCCTCTCTGATGCCCCTACTGGGCAGGGCAGCATCGCCTGAATTTCCCAGACACAAGCCAGAGTGTGGCGCCCAGAAGGACTACGAGTCCCGAGACGCACAGTGCATGCTGGGGAGTGTAGTCCAGGCCCGGCAACTCCCGCCCCGCCCCCGCCTGAGTTTCCCACAACCAGTCCCTATCCTCAGCAGCTTTGACTTTCGAGTCCGGTTGTCACTCACTAGTTCCTGTGGCTCGAAAAATTACTTCCCTAATTCTACCTCTCCCTCCGGCTCCCCAGCTCTGATTCTTTCCCAATAATCAGAGAGGACCTTGGCGCCTGACCCATCCCCGACCCCAGCCCTCCCTCAATGTGCTGTACTCACCGGTGAGACCGGTGATCTAAGCCCTGAGCCCACACCCTGGAGGACTCAGCCCCAGGCCTCCTCTAAACCCTTGCGCCTGCCCTTTCTCCCAACTCACCCGCTCGTTACCTGACACCGGAGCCTGATTTCCCCCGCCCAGGCCGCTCCCCTCCCGGACCCAGGGGTGGTGAAGACCCAGACCCCAGCTGCCAGCCCTTCTGATTCCTACTCCCTTCGGTGACCCAGCGTCTGGCCCCTCAGCCCCTTACCCAGACTTCCCTCCCTCTGGCTCATGCTGGCCCCTGGCTGATCCCGGTTCCCTCCACGCCCCCCTTCCGAGGGGGGAGAAGGGGAAAGGGGTAGGGGCGTGGCTCGGGCGCAGCCAATCATAGTCCAGACCCCAAACATTCCCCCCGCCCCACCAGCCCTTCTAGGCAAGATTCCTTGGCCCTGAGCTCAGCAACTAGCCTGCGCCGCCTGGTCAGGGAAGGGGCCCCGCCAGGGATGCAGGTAGTCTGACCTGTGGACATTACCTTAAGGCTGGGGGTCTCAAGCCCTGGGAGACAGCCTTGTAACCCTCTGGAAGAGGAGGCTCTGGTTCCCACCTGAAGCGGGGAGGGACGCAAGGGTTGATTTGGGATTAAAGCTTCAGGGACAGGAGAGGGAAGCCGCGGGCTAACAGGAATGTGCAGGCCCTCCCTCTTGACTGGGGCTAGGTGCTAAAGAGGCAGCGGTGGGGGCCGCCGGCTTGAGAAGCACCTTTCCAAACATACACCTCCTGGCCAATCTTAGATGCCTTCCATTCTCCTCATATCTGCCAGGAGGGAAACAAGACACCACCACGCCTCACCTTACCAGGCTCACTAACCAACAGCCCCCCTCCACGTGTACATGCATCTCCTGGAGAGTTAAGGTATTCAAATGCGCATGCTCAGAGAACAGGTTTCAGAGACCTGTACAGGAGGTCAAGCTCAAACAACAACCTCATTAGTGTGGTGTACACACTGAAATGATTATACACACTTATCCCCACAGCTGATTCCCAAGCATCTACTCTATCCTGGCCTCTGAGTTAGAGAGGATCCATATTTGGTCTCTGGCCCCTTGAGTTCACAGTCTGATGGAGGAGATCATAAACAAGCAGTAACAGAGTTTGTGAGCCAAGGGACTGAGAAGGAGGCCAGCATGCCCTTTCTCCCAACTCACCCGCTCCTTACCTGACACCGGAGGATATTACCATGAGCAGACAATTGCCAAAATAAAGGAGGGTATAGCAGGGGTAGGAGCCAGACTGTTGTCAGGGGTCACAATCACACACTAATCAACAGTTAACATTTACTGGATATTTACTGTCTTCCAAGCACTGTACATACACACACGAAATATGTGTATAAGATACATGTATATGCATGTGTAATGTACATATTACACGTATGTGTATATATATGTATCTACAACATGGGATTAAGATATATATGTATCTAATATGTAAGATGTAAGATATAAGATACATAAGATATATATGTATCTATCACTATCTATCTATAGTTCAGTTCCAGAAATGCTGTCATAACCACCCTCCTAATCCTTTAACCCCTCTGAACATGATCACACCAAAACTCACAGACAAATCTTTGAAATACAAATCCTAAAGCACAGCAACACAGGTTGAGACTTTATCATATCTACTGACTGAGCATCCTCAAATAAAATTAACTGAGACATATTCATATTTTTAAGTAAACTTTTAACTGAACTGTAATAAACATATGAGAAAGTGCACACATAATAAATATATAGTTTGATGACTTTTCAGAGAGTAAATATGCCCCAGGAATATCAATCAGTACCAGATTAAGAAATAGAACACAGCCACTTCCCAGAAGCCCCACTCTTACCCTCTCCCTGTCTGAAGAATGACCACAATCCTGACTTCTCACACCATAAGTTTGTCTGTTTTTGATCTTCATATATAGAATCATCTAATGGTTACCATTGGATCTCGCTTTTTTTACTCAAGATTTGTCCATGAGACTCGTCTAGGTTGTTGGGTGTAGCAGGACACTGGTCATTCTGCTTGCTGTGTCTAAGTCTATGGTGTGAATAGGTTGTAATCCATTCCAATTATCCTTGTGGGTTGGCATGAAAAATGCCAGTTTTTCAGAGTCTCTCCTAATTTACACTCCTGTAGAAATATAAGGGACATCCAATTGCTCTACTTTTTGCCTAAACTTGGGATGGTATGTCTTTTTCACTTTGGCCATTCTCATTGGGGAAGACCCACTCGTATTTGCAGTTTCTGACATACACTTGGCACTCAGTTAACAGACTGTTGAATGAATGGATGAGCGAGTAAGTTGAACAGTGTAGAATCAGGCTGGTGAGAACCGAAGCAAGCACACGCGCGCGCGCGCAAACACAACACCCAGCATTTCAGGGACGCCCACCCGCTGCGGACGCACATCAGGACACAGACCCTCTCATGCACCCCGGCACCCACGTGGTCTGAACGCACCGCTAGGCCCTGCTGCGCGCGTCTAGTCACCCAGCTGCCCCCAGACTCTCCCTCTGGGCCGCGGGCAGGGGGCGCTGCGCGTCCCGGCGCCCCGAGGGGGCGGGCCCGGGGCGGGGCGGGGCCGGCCCCGCTTCCAGGCCTGGGCTCTGGCCGCCCGCGCCGCCCGGCCGCTCCGGGGACGGGCCGGGGCGGGGCGCGGCAGCAGGAAGCGGGGCGGGGACTCGCGGAGGCGTTGAGGAGCGGGGGAGGGCGCGGCCAACTCCCGGAGGGACTGCAGGCCGAGAGAGCGGCGCCCCGGCCTGGCGCCGAGCCTGAGCCCGCCGGACGGCAGGCGGCCCCGCCGCGGGCTCGGCCCCGGCCCCAGCCCCGGCAGCATGGCCGGCCGCACCGTACGGGCCGAGACCCGGAGCCGGGCCAAGGATGACATCAAGAAGGTGATGGCGACCATCGAGAAGGTCCGGAGATGGTGAGTCCTGCCTCGGTGCCAGGGACGGGACATGGGGTACCACCCCCCCTCGCCAGCCGTGGCCCCTGGCGTTAGGTGTGTCCCTCGCCCACCCGCCGTGCGCTGGATCGACTGGGCTCTGTCCTTCTTTCCCTGGCTATTCCCGGGGGTCTACAAAGCGTGATCCCCAGCCGTGCCCTCCTGGAGTGGGAGCCCTCTTCTATGTCCCGCCCCCTAAAGCTTTGACACTCCTCCTGTAAGTATGCCGCGCAATCTTCATAGCCAGGGTTCCCAGCCAGCCCCCGACCACCATGTGTGCCCCAGGGGTCTGCAAGAGCCACGCCCCCTAGTCATACCGTCTGGAATCACTCCCATCTGTGCCCTGGGGTTTGCAGGACTGCCTTTCTCCCTTTAACTGTACTCCATTAGCGAAACTGCCCCTACCCTAGTACATCTCCCTAACGTCTGCAGCTACCCCAGCTCTAGAGGGGTGGCTCTCCCCTCATACCTCTCTGACCCAGCTCCCTGTCCTCCACAGGGAGAAGCGCTGGGTGACTGTGGGCGACACTTCCCTTCGTATCTTCAAGTGGGTGCCAGTGGTGGACCCCCAAGAGGAGGTGAGCAAGCCCCCCCCACCAGGCCCTGCATCTGTACAACCTCAAGCAAGCCCCTCCCCCCTTGGCCTCCACCTTCAGTCCCCACTCTGAGACCTCCAGTGTAGCAGCCCAGACAGATGTTAACGGTTATCAGCAACTCCTCCCCCTTTTCCCTTTTTTCCTGCTCCAGACACCCAAGATCAAGATGTAACCCAATATACGCATTATCTGCCACATCAGGCAGGGACTTTTGCTTTCTCTATGCCTTAGTTTCCTTATTTCTACAGGGGGGGGACTTTGCAAGAACTAACTATAAAGCTGGCTCTCACCTTATCTCTGTAATCCTTAGGAGCGAAGGCGGGCTGGTGGAGGGGCAGAAAGATCCCGTGGCCGGGACCGCAGGGGTAGGGGAGCCAGTCCCCGTGCAGGTGGCCCTCTCATCCTGCTGGATCTCAATGGTATGTAAGGATCATGGAATTTGGGGAGACTGTGGGGATTGAAGGAGGATACTGGAGGCCTCATGACAACCTTCTTGGCTGTTGCTCCTACAGATGAGAACAGCAACCAGAGTTTCCATTCTGAAGGTTCCCTCCAAAAGGGCACCGAGCCCAGCCCTGGTGGCACCCCTCAGCCCAGCCGCCCTGTTTCACCTGCTGGACCTGCAGAAGGGGTCACAGAGGAAACTCAACCCCCACGACTAGGCCAAGAGAGAGGTAGGACAGTTTGCCTCCCAGGAGCCTCTCCTCTGAGTCCTGTTTTCTCCAAAGTTGAGCCTACCAGCTTAACCCTATACCTCTCCCCCCTACCCCTGCTGCCTCCTGAGGGGGCCTCCTTTCACCCCTGCAGAAACTACCTCTAGCTGCCCTCTTCCTCTCTTGTTTTTTAGGATTTGTTGATAATCATTGTCTGAGATTTTTGTACACATTTAATTCTTTGTTTATTGTTTTTCTTCCTATTCCCATCTCATGTCAGCTTCCTGAATGTTGGGCCCATATTGTTCTTGTTCAGTAATAGGTGCTTAGTAGATTGAGTGAATAAATAATAGTGATAATCACAGGAATGATTAATAATTGTAGGATTAACAACAACTAATATTTATTGAGTCCTTTCTGTGTGCCAGGCATCCTTCTAAGCACTTCACATGTTTGTTTGTTTTTTTCTCATTTAATCATCACTATAATATAGGGTTTATGATCCTGTTAAGATCCCTGTTCATAGAGTAGGAGACTGAGACCCAGAGAAGTTAAGTAAGGTGCCCATGCTCACATACCATTAAGCCAGCATCCTTCCACATAGTCAGTCCCCTGTCTGGTCAAAACACTTCTCATTTTCCCCTCCTTTGCCAGTCCTGCCCAGCTCTGGCCATCTCATCTCACCCATCTCACCCATCCCTGCTCCAGCCTCCACACTGGTCTCCACACAGCTGCCAGAACAACATTTTCTGAAGCACAAGTTTGACATAGTTATTGTCCTGTTTCTCATCCTTCATAGGTTCCCCATGGCCTTTGATGCCTCTGCTTGATACTTGGGGTCTTCAGGAACTGTTCCCTGCTGACCTCATTGTTCCCTGGCAAGAACTCCACCTAAGGGCTAGGTCTAGATTGTGCCAAGTACTTTGCTACTATAAAAATTATATGAGACTAGGGCTGTAACTGAGTGGTAGAGCTCTTGTCTAGCATGCAGGAGGCCCTGAATTTGATTCCCAGTGCTGCAAATAAAGAAATTATACCTAGATTTATTGGGCAAATATGCTAAGGGCCTTGCCTGTATTATCTCATTTAATCCTCACAACAATCTCATGTGGTAATTACTGTCATTATCTCCATGAGCAGATGGGTAAACTGAGATCCTGAGAACTTTTTAAGTAGCTTGCTCAAGGTCAGGATTTGAACCTATGCAGTTCAGTTGCAGAATCTGTGCTTATTAAAGTATTTGTGTTAATTGTGTTCTACACCCCACCCCCCACCCCGCCCTGTTTGTCTACCTAATAAAACCATACTCACATTTCAAGGTCCCACCTAAATCTTCCTTCCTCTTTGCATCCTGGATGGCAGCCAGGGGTCTGGCTCTCTCTTGCTGCTCCCGAAGCTCTGGCTTATGTGGTTGGTGCCCGTCTGTGTTTGTTTTGCCCTCTGTGCTACTGGCACAGAGTGGCTGCTCAGGGGATGTGTGTTCACTTGACCTTCTAGATCCCGGGGGCACACCTGCAGGCAGCACTGATGAACCCCCAATGCTGACCAAGGAGGAGCCTGTTCCAGAATTGCTGGAAGCTGAGGTGAGAGCGGCTGGACTCCCCGGTCTTAGAGGGAATGGGAACTCTGGGCGATGGGTGGCTGCATCCTGATGTCCTGGAGGGAGACGTGGACCCAAGGACCCAGCTAAAGGCTTAGAGGCTGGGTTCTTGGGACTGAAAAAGAAATAGATGAAATCTTGAGGACTGAATTAGGGCTGGTTTAAGACCCTTAAAAGCCTGAAATGATCATGGTGCTTTTCCATGTATATTAAAAAAAAAAAAAATCCTAGGCTGGGGGTATAGCTCAGTGGTAGAGGGCGTGCTTAGTATGCAGGGGCTCTGGGTTCTATCCCCAGCACCACACACACAAAATGAATCCTAAAACTAGCTTACAAAAGTCCCTCATAAACTTAATTTTTCTCAAAGGACTACCTTTATGCATTTTTTAGAAAGATCAAATTCCCCCAATGTTGCCATTATTTTCGGTGTCCTTCTTAATCTGCATCTTAGTCACCTGGCCCTGGGTCTGGAGGGGAGTGGAGTGGAGGCTTTGGAGAAGGCAGAGGCTAGGAGGCTGTACTCCTGGGTTTGGGTGGAGCTCACGCCTGTCCGCCCTTCCTCTCCAGGCCCCCGAAGCTTACCCCGTCTTTGAGCCAGTGCCACCTGTCCCTGAGGCAGCCCAGGGTGACACAGAGGACTCGGAGGGCGCCCCCCCACTCAAGCGCATCTGCCCAAATGCCCCTGACCCCTGAGAAGCCGGCCTGCCTGTCCTGTTGTCCCAGGGGCCCCTTTGGCTTTTTACAAATAAAGACCCTTTTGTAATTTTGTGTCATGTCATTTCCCCGTCAGGGCTGGGGAGGGTCTTTGGAGACAGTTTTGTCTCATGCTCCATTATTCCTCAGATGGGCTCATTGAGGCTCCAAGAGGACCTTCCTATGGTCACACATGATCAGATGTGCAGTGGGGGCTTGAGCCAGGACCCTGCTCCAACACTCCCTTACCCTGCCCTGTCTCCCTTCACTGACCTTCCCTCCCCTTCACCTTCCTCCTCTGGGAATCCCAGGACCCTTCTTCCTGCTCAGGCCTCCCCTGGGCTCAGGAATTGTCACAGTTCTGAGCAGTGAGGTCCGTGATTCCCAGGTCATTCATGGGAACACAGACCCAGATGGATGTAGGGGCCTGGGATGACCCAACTTATTTTTGGCCTCAGGAGGCTGCAGCACTGTGCTTCCCTGCCTTTCTTGAGCCCTTCTTCCACCTGGTACCCCTGGCTACACTTCTGCTTGAGTCCTCCATATCCCCAGCTCAATCTCTACCTCCTTCAAGAAGCCGTCCCTCACCCTAGGCTCCATCAGTGTCCCCTTCCTTGAGTTCCCACAACCCCTCAGGCTTTCTTCCCTTTGTTTCAACATTTATTAGGCTTGTTTTGGGTTCATTGGTCTTTGTGTCTGTCTTGTCCACAGGTTGTGGGCACCTTGAGGACAGAACTGGATCCCCAGCCTGGTCTAGCTCAACACTGGGAACAATGTAGTCATAGTAACTGCTTCATGAATAAGTGAATGGTTTGGAGTTGTCCAGGAGGGCTTCTTTAAGGAGGTGGCGTGTGAGAAACCTTGGCTCAAGTCCTGGCTTTGTAATTTATTATTCTTATGGGTCTAGGCAGGTTATTACTATTCTCTGAGCCTTTGTTTGTTCATCTGAGCAATGGGAATAATAATTAGGCCTTCCCTGCCTCAGTGGTTTCTAGGAAACTTCATATCCTATCAGGTCCCTCTGTTTCTGCAAGAGAGATAGGGTCAGATGTATTAGCCCTATTTTTATTTTTATTTTTGGTACCAGGAATTGAACTCAGAGGCGCTGACCACTGAGCCACATCCCCAGCCCTATTTTGTATTTTATTTAGAGACAGGGTCTCACTGAGTTGCTTATACCTCGCTATTGCTGAGGCTGGCTTTGAACTTGCAATCCTCCTGCCTCAGCCTCCCAAGCCGCTGGGATTACAGGCATGTGCCACTGTGCCCAGCCCTTTTTGTTTTGTTTTGTTTTTTTAATTTTATTTTTAGTTGTAGATGGATAATATCTTTGTTTTATTTAGTTATTTATTTTTATGTGGTGCTGAGGATTCAACCCAGTGCCTTACACATGCAAGGCAAGCCCTGTACCACTAAGCTGCAACCCCAGCTCCTTATTTTTAATGAAGGAACAGACCAAGGTTCAGAATGGACCAAATTGGAACTTTTAACAAGCCATTTAAAAATATAAGGGTGTGGGGCTGGGGATACAGCTCAGTTGGAAGAGTGCTTGCCTTTCATGCACAAGGCCCTGGGTTCAATTCCCAGCACCAAAAAAAAAAAAAAAAAAGAAGAAGAAAGAAAGAAGGGTATTTCCTATAATAATAGTGGAGCCAGAGGTGGCCAGGGGAGCGAGGCGTGCAGTGATGTGACATATTTGTTTCTATTGCTGTTGTAACAAGTTACTACAGACAGTGGTTAAAGCCACAAATTTATTACCTTACAGTTCTGGAGGTCAGATGTCCAAAAGTAGACATACTGTGCTAAAGTCAAGGTGTCCACAGGGCTGGTTCTTCCCACAGGCTATCAGGGATAATCTGTATTCTTGACTTTTCCAGCTTCTAGAGGCTTCTGTATTCCTTGGCTTGTGGCTTTTCCCTTCTTCAGCTCAGCAGCATGGCATCCTCTAATCTCTCTCTCTTTCTTCCATCATTTCATCTCCTCCTCTGAACTTTGTGCCTCCCTCTTATAAGGCCCCTTGTGATGACTTGGGTCCACCCAGACAGTCCAGGATGCTCTCCCTTTCTCCAAATCCTGAATTTCACCAATCTGCAAAATTCTAATTGCCATGTGAAGTAACACACAGATTCTGGGGCTTAGGATATGGACACCTCAGGAGGGTCATTATTGAACCTACCATATGTGGTAATCTCAGCCATTTTCTGGGTGTGTGAGTCATGTCATTACGCCCTCAATGATCCCGTGAGGTGATATGAGTGCTCTGTAAACTCTAAAGTACCTTGTGTGGTTAGTGGTACAGTGTTAAGGCCCAGAAATCAAATTCTGGGGTTAAATCTCAGCATCTGCATTCATTTGCTATGTAACCTTAGCCAAGTGACTTAACCTTGTTCTCATTTGCCTCAGTTTTCTCTTCTGTAAAATGGAATAACCATAATGCCAGCCTGGTGAGACTTCTGAGGATTAAATGACACAATTCCTGGAGAGAGAGTCATTGGCTTAGTACATAGTAAATGCTCAGTCATTGGCAGTTGTTTTTCCTGTTACCCCATTTTACCGATAAGGACACTAAGGTCTGGGGAGATACCATAGACTTGCCCACAAGTGAGGCTAAAGAAGAATTTTGGTTTTGGATAGGATGTCCATTTCTGAGTATACTAGAGAAGCTAAAGTTTGAGTCTGCCCATTCCTGTCCATCACCTGGACACAGGCTCTAGGCAAGTGTCCCCAACCCAGACCTGCCCCCACTTTCTCTGTGGCTAATTCCTAACCTCTTCTATAAGACACTTCTCCCATGTCACAACTCTGATTTAAGACTGGCTGTGTTCTCCCCATCCCCTACCCATGTTCACACTTTCCTTCTGGAAGTTCTTCCACCCTAAGTCTTGGGCTCTGGCCTCCAGTGCTCTCCCCTTTTCTGCTCTGGGTCCTGTCCATCCTTAGTCTCTTTCCTCTTCCTGATCTTTAGTGTCTGTTGCCCTACCTTAGTTCTTCTGTTCCTGAATATTCTCCTGCAATGCCCCACCTTCTTTTTTTTTTTTTTTTATTTAATATTTAGTTTTAGTTGTAGGTGAATATCTTTTTATGTGGTGTTGAGGATCAAATCCAGTGCCTCATGCATGCTAGGTGAGCTCTCTACCTCTGAGCCACAACCTCAGCCCCTAACCTTCTTTTTCAGTTAGTGTTTCCTAATTCCCTGCCTTCAAGTTCTGCCCCCAATCTCCAGACTCAAAAAATTAAATAGCTTGCAACACTTCACTTCATGTCCAAAACACCCTCAGCCTCATCTCCCCATCAACCATTCCCACTGTCTCTTGTACCCTTAAATGGCTCCCTGGCCCCAGGAGTCTGAGTCCACTTCCCTGAGCCATCATGTCCTAAGTCTTTGTCTTAAATGATTCTCCAGTTGACCCCCTTCTCCAGAGCCACACTGCTTTACTTCCTTCGAGTGCCAACAAATCAATGTAACAACTTCCTGGTGGGTTTCCCTGCTTGCCCATGTCCAGTTGGCAGTGGGCAACCCTTCAGAAGCCCACATCTGCCCATGATGCTGGCCCTGGCCAAAACCTTCCAGTGCTCATTACCTGCATGCTAGAGTTCATGCTCTGCTGCTTCCACCCAACCCCAGCTACCCTCTGAACTGCTTATAATCACCCCAAAATGTCTTACCTCTTGGGTGTTGCTCATGCTCTTTGCTTTGCCAGGAGCGTTCTGTTTGCCCCTCTGCTCTTCACCTGGAAGATGTCTTCTTGATTTTCAAATCACAGTTTCCTGGTGGCATCTTTTCTCCTTTTGATCATGCCCACCCCCCTCCTGTTCTTCCTTTGCATGGAGTCCCAGGAATTGCCTCACAATGGTCTGTGTCTGCTCACATTTTCAGCACCTCCTTCAGGAGGGCAGAGGAATTTCTTTGAATCAGTGACATAAATGTTGTGTACTTACTGTTTTCTGGGCCCTATTCTAGGCCCTGAGGGTACAGCATAAAGAAATCAGAGGGCTGGCAGTATAGCTCAGTAGTAGAGCACTTGCCTAGCATGTACCCATCCCCAATACTGCAAAAATGAACAAACAAAAAAACAAACAGAAAAAAATCCCTGCCCTCATGGAGCCTACTTTTAGTAAATTGTGTTCTGAGTAGGAAGTTATGCGTATAATCATGGGGGCTTAAGGACAGGGATAGGTTCTGAGAAATGTATTTGAGGCAATTCCATCATTGTGCGACATCAGAGAATGTATTTACACAAGCTAAGATGACTATGATGTCATGAGATGATATCAACTTTTGGGACCACC